TCCCAAAGGCTTGCACAGCAGTTTGTTGCAGCAGGCCTGGCTTCAAGCTGCTCAGGTGAATGGTGCATCTGGGGCTGGCCAGGGGGTGCTTCCCAGGCCCCTGTGGGGCAGTGTGAGGAGGCACCTTTCTTTGGGGCAGCTCAGAGACCAGGACCAGCAGCTGCAGCTGTCCAAAGGACTCTTAAGGAGAGGGGAGGAGAGATGTGGATGAGGGAACACTACCCAAAGGGTGAGGGGCTGCTGGCTCTGCAAGCAAAGGGTGACATAACTGGGTTCCTGAGCCCCACAGGGGTGCCACTGAAGGAATGCAGTTGGACAAGGGAGCCATGGACCCAAAAAGGTTGAAAACCTCTGCCTTAAGCTATTCCTAATTCTTCTCTAGCATAACCCCCATGTATCCTGGAAACATCCAATTTCCCCCTGCAAAAGCACTGCAGCCATTTTGGGCACTGCGATCTTACCCGATTTCGTGCCAAGATCTCGCCCTTTTGGGGGGGGCAGCAATCTCAAGTGGGTCACATGACATATGTGGGAGCATGGCTGGGAAGACACACATCCTGGTTTGGGGAACTCAACATGTTGGAGGGTATGCTGTAGTCAAGGTGTGAACACCTTTGCACAGAGTAAAAAACCCCTGCTCTGATAATGCTCCTTGGAGTGTGCACAAAGACAAACAAATCTGACACTAATTAAGCTGTGTTGATGTGAAACGAGGTAGGGATGGGCCGGGAGATAGCTGTGAAGTGCATGCAGAAAAGCACTGCATGAAACATACCTTTTCTCCAGCATTTCAAGATTGGTTTTGTTTTCGTTTTCTGACTTTTTCAATGGATGCTTCTCCTGTTGTGTGTGTAAACCATGGGTAGGAAAACTAAGGCCCAGGGGCCGAATCCGGCCCAATCACCTTCTAAATCCGGCCCATGGACGGTCCAGGAATCAACGTGTTTTTACATGAGTAGAATGTGTCCTTTTATTTAAAATGCATCTCTGGATTATTTGTGGGGCATAGGAATTCGTTCATCCCCCCCCCAAAAAAAATAGTCCAGCCCCCCACAAGGTCTGAGGGACAGTGGACTGGCCCCCTGCTGAAAAAGTTTGTTGACCCCTGAACTCAGCCACTATTTCTCAGCCTAAGCCACTTCACAGGCGTGATATGCGATTAAAAAAGAGGCTGTAGATATATGCTGCCCTGAGCTCCTCTGAGGAATGACGGGATAAAATAATTGCTAGACTCCCTGCTTCAGTAGTTTAAGCCATGTACTGGGAAATCCTCCAGATATAAAAGGCTTTGTACATGTGCTCTAGCCTCAGCTGGGCCAAAAAGGAGGGCACAAGCTGACTGACCCACCCTCCTTTGGTTACAGGGTTACCTCAGGTTTAACCCAACCATTTGTTCAAGAGCCAAGAACGATGTTTTTCATGTTATCATATATCGGCTGAGAGAAAGGATGCTTGCTCCCTTCCTTGGGTTATCTCTTTTGAAATGAATGTTAACAGCTAGCTATGAATTTGTGATTTCTTTGTCATAACTTGCAGGATGTTAAGAATGTTATGTGTGTGACACAGAGAGAAGGGAATTGGAATTGAAACAGCCTACCTGTATGAAGGACTGGAGCCCGTGACTTTTCTGTTTATGCTTTTATGATTTGGTGGTAGGCTAGAACGAGAGATGGAGGAGAAATTTGATTCAATTCCCATTTAAGACAAACTCACCTAATAGACCTATAATATATAAATTTAATAAATAATAAATACAGTAATAATAATAATTCATATTTTTCAAACCAAACTGATACACAGCCAAAACACAGTTGAAAGCGAAACACAGATTTTTCATTTCTTTGAAGGATTAAAAAAATTACTGTAGAAATGTGGAGAACTAAATTTAATATTGGTAAAATGAGAAACTGAAACAAACAAACAAAAAAGAGGAAGAAGAAGATAGACCGCTTCATCCCTTTTTGGTACAGTCCACAAACTCTCAGTTTCTTTTGAAAATCTCGAAGGATGAGCCACATCTTGAGGAATGAACTCCTGTTGCCACGACTACACTCAGATGTAAACACTAGGTTGAACAAGTGGAACCTTATAAATACCTTTGGCATTTACATGCTACTTGAATCTATTTTGAATAGCCACATGTCTGTCAGTTATCCTTCTTAGGAGTTTCCATGTACTGTAGGAGCTCAAAGATGGTGTATGGCTAAGAAGCATTCCATAAATAGTTGTGTTTGCTGTTGTAACTGCAAGCGTCAACAATATGTCATGCATGTTAAAATAACAAGACATGTGTATATCAAGATTATTTTGAAATAGCAACACAATAAAGAAAAATACTCTTAGTTCACCACAATCATAAACTCCAAAAGCATTTATATGGAAAACAGAATCAAGCATTTAAAACTAGCTTCTTCTTTTGTGCTGACCTGAAAACAAATACCTGTACTGTATACTCAAAGTGAGATTAAATTGTACACTTAAAAACATGTGTTACTGAAATATTTGATCACCACTCATGCTTATTTTATTTATATAACAAGTTTGAGCAATGTAACTGTTGGGTGGATTTGTAGCTTGTTGATCGATCAAATACAGAGTGCGCACTAATGGCTCCTCTTCACTTTGTAAAAAAATGACAAGTGGGAGGCTGCAGGGTTCTGTTCTGGGCCCGTTGATGTTCAACATCTTTATAAATGACTTAGATTAAGGCATTGGGGGGATGCTCATCAAATTTGCAGATAACACCAAACTGTGAGGGGTAGCCAATGCTCCAGAAGACAGAATTGTGATTCAAGATGACCTTAACAGAGCTGGGCCAAAACCAGACCTTTTTTTTAATTTTAAGGTGCTGGTACTGTGTATCCTTGATGCCAGAGGAAGCCACCAGGGCTTAGGAATTTGCCTCTCCCACCAGCTTAAGTTTGATAAGTAAATTGTTGTTGTTATTGTTTAGTCGTTTAGTCGTGTCCGACTCTTCGTGACCCCATGGACCAGAGCACGCCAGGCACTCCTGTCTTCCACTGCTCCCGCAGTTTGGTCAAACTCATGCTGGTAGCTTCGAGAACACTGTCCAACCATCTCGTCAACTGTCGTCCCCTTCTCCTTGTGCCCTCCATCTTTCCCAACATCAGGGTCTTTTCCAGGGCATCTTCTCTTCTCATGAAGTGGCCAAAGTATTGGAGCCTCAGCTTCAGGATCTGTCCTTCCAGTGAGCACTCAGGGCTGATTTCCTTAAGAATGGGTAGGTTTGCTCTTCTTGCAGTCCATGGGACTCTCAAGAGTCTCCTCCAGCACCATAATTAAATAGAGTTTATCTAATAAGCTTTTATTAATGTGAGAAAGGATCAAATGTACAAAGACCATTGCTTTCCTCTGTGGAAAATAATTTGGGGGATTTTTTAAATATACCATAGACTGCCAGACTAAAAAAAATGTACTGAAATAAATTTAGATTTCTATATTACTTTCATGGGGTGGGATTCACCTGACAAACCCTCTCAACTGATGCTTTGTGCAAGGTGTCTGCTTGCACAACAGGGCTCCCCAATCTTCTCTCCCCCTCCTGAAATTGGCTGGGGTGGGTGGGTAGGGGAAGCCCCAGAACAGCACATGGGGTGAGAGGAAAGGGGGATTGTTCTGGCTGGCAAGTTGATGTGCTTGTGCAGTTTGAATGTTCAACATAGTGCAGCAATGAATTCCACCCACTATACATAATCATGTGATAAAATTATCAGCGGCGTTAACACACAAGTTATTGTTATGATTATGACTATATTGTATGTGAAGCAGTTTATTAAGAGTTCATTTTATGATTTCTTTATTCAGTTCTTGCCTAATAATACAATGCATTTTAATAAAAAGAAGACTCTTTTTAAAGCATCATAAATATTTACTAATAATACTTAGGCAAGGATTAAGGTCGGAAATTACCTCATGATTGTTTGAACCAATGGGAAGTTTTTTCCTTAAAAGATGTTGGCCGTTAAAAAAGAGAAGAGAATTAGAGTTTGTTATTTCTTTTACAGAATTATCAATTAAAATCTATATTGTGATTCAAAACTCTTTTGGCTCACTTCTTCCTATACTAAAACAAACTGTTCAGCCCACTCCTTTGCATGCCTTGTCTGAAGGGAAATTTATTAAGTTCAACGGCTTGTATTCCTAAGTTACACTCAGAGTACAGCCACTGAAATCAATGGGTCTAAATTAGTCATGGCCATTAATTTTAGGATTGCAGCCTAAAGCATTTTACCTAGCTGTCTTGGATATTCAGGTTCACTGAGTTAAATCATCCCACCTTTGTGTAAATACTTTTAATGTTTGTTCCATTCTATACATTTGTACTACTGCAGTTATTGTTTCCAGAACTACCCAGTTTTCTAGCAAGAGAAAGCTTTCCCATACAATGAGTGGCTTCCTGGTGTGTTTCGTGTATACAAGGTACAAGTATCATTTATACTGAAGAGTGTCTGTGCATGTGCACAGGAGTGCACGTGTGGGCATGTGAAGTACTTATTTGCATACCTGTGGGGAGGGAGAGAGGCTTAAGTATTTCCCACATTGTACACCAAAGGAAATTTCTAATCCATTAAAGAAATAAAGAGCATAAAATACAAGCGCGAATATATGGGCACCCACTTACATGCACTTTTTTTTTACATCGTTGCACAACGTAGGAACAGTTGGTTTAGTTTATCACTCTAAAATGTCTCCCTTTGGATTTATGAGCTAAGAGTGCTCAAGGGTTTAGTGTCCTGACATCTCTTTAATTAGCAGTCTCCTGGATCCTTCGCTAAGAAGACACTAAGCCAGCGGACTGCTGTCAAATCTTAAGGATTTCAGAAGGTTGGAAAGCCACAGAGCAAGCCCACAGGTCTATAGCCTATGCCTATATTCTATACAGAATGTGCAATCTACCATTTTCCCCTTAGAAGCAAAGTTCGACTTTTGGCTGTGATTGCTGCTGCTTTGATGGTGATGGAGGTGTGAAGCGGTGAAAAAGCTACCGAGCAAAAATGGGTGAGATAAGTAAAGATGATGTCGAGAAATACCTGGAGAACAACCCACAGTTTGCCAAGGAGTATTATGACAAAAAACTGCGTGCGGAAGTAGTGGGAAGCGTCTTCAAAGTCAACCCTGGGGATGTAAAGGATGGAATCTCCTTCAAGGAAATGACAAAGCTGGAGGAATGTCAGGTGCTTTTTGAGCTGATGATGGAAATCCAGGAAGAAGCCAGCTCTGTGGAAAAGATAGTGCACAAAATCCTGCAAAGGTTGGCACAGTTGCTGGCAGCTGACCGGTGTAGTATGTTTATTCAACGTTCCCGCAATGGTATTCCAGAAGTGGCTAGCAGGCTCATGGATGTCACCCCTACTTCCAAATATGAGAGCAATCTGGTGCCTCCTGAGAAAGAAGTCGTTTTTCCTCTGGACATTGGGATAGTTGGGTGGGTTGCTCATACCAAGAAGGTATTTAACATACCAGATGTAAAAAAGGTAAGTGAGAAAGCTTTTCTGGGTTTGGTTTAGGGTAACCTCTCCCCACTCCCCTTTATGTGAAAGGCTAGTCAACATTGTGCCCTCCAGACACTGTCAGACTACAACTCCTATCTTCCCTGACACTCTGGCTGAGGTTGTGGTCCAAAACATATGGCTGATACCACATTGGCCACCCCAGTTTATAGTTTACGGGGCAAATGGAATGAAGGAATTACAGGAGCGTTCCTTCAAGAGCCAAACCCATATCTAGACATATTGTTGGAAATGTGGAGGGGGGAAGCTTTCAGTCAATTAACAAATTTCCCAATCCTGTATTTACCCTGTGTGTTAAGAAAGTAAATGCAAACTTGGGAGTTGAACATCCAAACAGTGGCATTCGCATAGATAGCGAGGGAGAGATTCAGAGCTGATTTCAACCACATGTGTGGAAACTATAGAGAGTTTTCAATCTCTCAGGAATAACCACCTTAAAATACCTTAAAAGGGAGAAACGGAGGGCTGTCTGCCTGATACTCTGCAGGGTTAGACTTAGGTGTGCCTAACTCTGTTTTGGATTGGTCTGTTTAGTGGGTCACAAGTTGTGTAAGCTTACAGTAGCCACGTCCACTCAACTGCTTTAATCTGGAGCAGTCCCAAAAACTTCAGTAGAGACTGAAATAAATGGGATGCAGACCTGCCAGAGGCGGGGCTAACACGAGGCTCTGCATCCAGTTTCAGGTATTGGGCGCCACTGAGAGCAGTACTGTTGCATGCCCCTCAAGTGTCCCAATTTTCCAGGGACAGTCCTGGAATTACAGAAGCCATCCCACAGAAGAATAGGGTGTCCCTATTTTCATTGGAAAAATGTTGGTGGGTATGCAGTTGGAAACAGGCTGATTGCAACTCCAAGGAACCATTCACTGCTGTGCCCTTATGCAGCTGCCATTTGTTTCAATGAACCTTGCACAAGAGAACTGTCTTCATGCCTTGTAACCTGGATTAAATAATAGTAAGGAGAGGACATACCAGATAGGCCTGTGTTCGATTATAGAATCAGACTGCTTTGGCTACAGACTCATTATGACCTGTTTTGAAACTACTTTCCACAACCAAAAATATACCCAGATTTGAGGTAGGAAAGCTAATATACTTGTGAAATTTGAAATCATGCCATATAGCACCTGTCTCGGTATTTTGGTTCTGATTGCTGGACCCATTTTCTATGGCAAGCAATATTGTACTTACTGCCTGTTACCATCAACAGAGGCCTGGGTGGATAATCTTTTTAAATTAATAAAGCAGATTACAGGAGAAAAGATCAACAGGACCAGAGAATATGTGCATCTCATTAGACTAAGCACTGTTATTCTAATATTACTGAGTGACTGTTGCCGCTTGAAATATAGTATGCTCTACATTTTGGTACCAATGATATTTGGATATAATTAAGAAACAATCCAACCTAAGGGCATGGTCCAGTTAGATATCTCCTATTGAATTTAATGGAGCTAAACAGTTTTTTTGTATTTTTATCTTTGACTAGATTGTGCTCAAGTTTCTTTATAAAGCAGGAGAGGGATGAGGTGTGTTTTCTGTGTCATTTACATTTGCTAACGCAACATTCAGTTTTTTCCTTTTTCTTTAGAATATTCTTACATTAACTGGAAGTTCATAAAAGAGCAAAAAATAAAGTTTTGCTTGTCACTGACATTTTAAAATAAAATGGTAGCTGTATCATTTTATGATGTATCATTTATGATACAATATAATTAAAACATGAAAATAGAGATTTTCATGTATTAATTATCCGTATTCATTCACAGTGGTTCTCAAACATGGAAAGCCAAATATTAACCCCACCATCCATTACTTGAGGTTTTCTATTTGACTTCCATGTCTGGGAACTCTGCATGTAGTCTTGCATTCACTAGTACTTTAGCCTTACAATTTTGCTAGCTGTTTTTTCCTCAGTGCTATTTTTCTAGAAAAAGAGGTGCCGGAACTCACCACGAATACTTCCCTCCTTCTCTTAGAATAGCAATGGTGCCCACCTGAGAGGTGCCGGAACTGAGTTCCGGCGAGTTCCGGCTGAAAAAAGCCCTGAGATTCAGGGGACTGGTTAAATGAAAGAGTCAAAGGGCAGCCTTGACGGGACGTGGGGCTAAACACTCAAATGGAAACCGATATGGTGAACCTGCTCTGGAGTGGGGCGGGGAGATTCTTCTCAAACACCTCACTCAGAAATCCCATTGATGTCTCTGGGAAGTTACCTAAGGGAGGTCTTCAAATATGGGGCTTTAATCAGTAACATATCCATTGCTGTGGTTAATTATATTAGGAGTCCTCAGTGCTTCTACTTGAAATCCTTTAAACATTATTAAAACCCTATAGCATTACCGTCTTTGGAAATCTTTGAGGTTCCAGGTAGGGGATTATGAACTGCAACCAATTCCAAACTGATAAAATGGATGCAAAGTCTTTAAAAGTTTCCTGACTAGCTGCCAAGGGCGCAAACTTGAATAAAATATTGTGGGGGCCCAGGTAAGCCCTGCCCTGAATAATTGACCACATGATACAGTGCACACACACCATTTGAATGGGAATACCCATCAACTGTGGGGGAGCCCAGCCCCCTCAAATATTTTATTTTGGGGGTCAAGGCCCCCACAGCCCCTAGGAGTTGGCTCCTATGCTAGCTGCCAAGTCACAAGGAATTGAATCATACTTCTGAGCAGATATGTTGAAGACTGTACTGCAAATGGTCTTGATTACATGCAGCAACATACGTCTGGGTTTTCCTGGACATATCCGGCTGCAAAATGGCATCTGGGCGGATTTTTGCTGAATTGGCAAAATGTCGAGGAAAACCCATATTTGGGAATATGGCAACCCTAATTAATGTCATTGATGAAATCCTTGGAGAGAACAGTATTGTCACTGCAGTAAATTCTATATTTCAACCAATCAGTTTCAGTACTTTTGCCCAACTTATTTCTTTCTTCTTTCAAATGATAAGCTTGCAACTGAGCCAGCAGCAATTCCCTGAGGGGCCACTTTTGTTTGCCACTCATCAGCTCCCACAGAGGTGAGAGGTTGCCAGGGCAACTGACCTTGTCAGAAGGCCAGCTGAAAGGTCTGGATCTGTTGCCCACAACCTCTTCCTCTTCTCATTAATCTAGCAAAACTAAGAGCAAACCAGAGGTGTGAACTGGCACCAGGATAAGAGTAAAAGTTCATTTATGAGGCATTCCTAGGCCTATGTCTCTAAATATTGGTTGCCACACTTGCAATCATTTTCTTCTCTGTCAGAGTTAACAAGAAACTATGCTATTTTTTTCTAGAATTATTTCTCCTGTGGAAAAGGAGAAAAAAATGCAGTGGGAAAATATTCCTGAAATGTTCTGTCCTTTTCAAGATAGGCATTTTAGAACTTACAACTATTTTATCAGTTTGAATTCGGTTGTTGTTTAAGTAAGCCCCTATTTTTACAAAGAGACTTGTGGCTCCTTTAAGACTAGCCTTCTCTAATTTGGTGCATGCCATGCTTTGGACTACATTTCCCATCATCCCCAACCAGGAGTGGGCTGGGAGTTGTAGTCCAAAACATAATGAGAGCATGGGGCTGAGGAAGACTGATAAAGACTAACATAGATATCGAGGCCTAAACTTTTGTGAGGGAAAGATAATCTCGTCAGAGGCATGAAGATTATCATATATGGCAGGTACCACAGCATTCTTTTGTTGCTTTTCTAGCAACAGACTAGCATGGCTACCACTTCGTAATTTCCCTGTTTTAAGAAATTACTTTAAGGAATTTTAAGTTAATATTTGGGGCAAGAGTTTTAGGGTGTTTGTGCATGGAAGATAGCCTAATGGAACCTTCCGGAATATGCGCTGCTCAGAAAAAAATAAATAAGCAAGGAAACAAACAATGTGTTGCCATTTCTCACTATACACACAGAGAAAGACACACAGAGTGCATGCATTCCTATTGCAACTGTTACATGAAATGTGAAACAGCAAAGATACACCATTTATTATAGCGTAAACATTTTAAAGGCCACAGTCCGTTTCAGTATGGTTGCCTTCCTCCATGTCATTTTTCCAGCCTTGAAAACAAGCAAATGAAAAGCACAGCTATTTAAATAATTTCACATGCCTCACTTCCGTATTTCTGCAGGGCAGTTATAGAATACTAATAAACATTTCAAACGTTAAAACTAATATATTAAGGAACCCGATTCAAGAATCTTTAAAGAGCTGAACAAATAAGAAACATAGCTGCAGCAAGATAAAATCCATTCTGAGAACATTTTAAAGGACCCGAGAAAATATAAAGGTAGATAAAGACACAAAAGCAGGCAAACCTCCCTGAGGTAAATGTGAAGGGACAGCAGCATGATTGAAAAGGTCCTTTGCCCAATGGCTTAGAAGGCAGGGCACTGGAAGAAGCTGACATTATGTCAGGATTGAGCCACAGGAATTTCAAGTGAGACAGAATTAATTAGATACAGGGTTTTCCCCCCAGCCAGAACTTCTGTCACTTCTCTGGTGGGTGTCTTGGCATTATAAGAGAACAAGAGAGGTATTCATGGTGAGTTCCAGTACCTCTTTTTCTAGAAAAATAGCACTGCTTAGATGGTTTTTAAAGAAATGTATAAAAAGGAAATATCTACTTGAAATGACACCTTTAGGGTTAAATAATTATTCATCCATTTAGTTGTTGTTTTTTAAAAAAGAAACATATTCATCCTGTTGTGCTTAGAGCGGCTTACAGTGTCATTAAAATGCAAGGAGACCCATAAAATAGAAAAACGGTTACGTAAAACATTGTTTAGCTGTGTTTTATGGTATTTACAGGTGTGGAGAGCTCTTGTTCAGTGTCCTAGCCAATCAGTTAGCCATACCCTTTCCCCGGATATTACATTCCTTTCCCACTCTCCCGTTTTCAAAATAGTCTGTGGCCACTGAGCATGCCTAGTCCTCATTGGGCTGCTTTGGGGGATCCGCCCTGCCCC